CACTGCACGCACAGCATCTGTAAGCAGCAGCATGTCATTGCTGCAATACTCACCGCTATTATACTGTGCCTCGGAGCGCGGCGACACGGTGGGAGGAGGAACGTACGGCAGTGTGGGCGGGGCCGCGTGCACCGCAGCACCGGACCTAGAAGAGCGCGTCTGTCGTCCGTACGAATTGCCCGCATCCCCGCCGGGCATCGATCGTCCGTACGCATCGCCCGCATCCCCGCCGGGCATCGATCGTCCGTACACATCGCCCGCATCCCCCGCCCGGGCATTGATCGTCCGTACGCATCGCCTGCATCCCCGCCGGCATCGATCGTCCGTACGCATCGCCCGCATCCCGCCGCGGCATCGATCGCCGTTACGCCATCGCCCGGCAGTCCCCGCGGCATCGCAATCGTTCCGTCACGGCATCGTCCGCATCCCCGCCGGGCATCGATCGTCCGTACGCATCGCCCGCATCCCCGCCGGGCATCGATCGTCCGTACGCATCGCCTGCATCCCCGCCGGGCATCGATCGTCCGTACGCATCGCCCGCATCCCCGCCGGGCATCGATCGTCCGTACGCATCGCCTGCATCCCCGCCGGGCATCGATCGTCCGTACGCATCGCCCGCATCCCCGCCGGGCATCGATCGTCCGTAAGGATCGCTTGCATCGCCGCCAGACAGCTGACGTGCGTAGGAGTCAGCGTCGGCAGCGTGTGAGGCAGGCAGGGGCGGCCGCGGCGGCGGTTTACCCTGCGGCTGATGAGGCGGCGGCCGCTGCCTGCTGAACAGATCATCCTTTAGATCCTGCAGCGCCTGAAACACAAGAGCAGACGAAACGGCTCGCGTTTAATTTCGGTGCGGCGGCAATTTTTCGCGATCGGCAGCTGTGTTATTTACTCGGGTGCCGCGGAAACGAGCGCTGCCACGTGGCATCGTAGGAAAATAAAGTGGTAATGGTCCGCACGACTGGTGTGTGCGATCTCACTCACTCGCCGGGCAGCCTAGAAAAAACAATTCCATTGCGGCGTCAGACCTCTGCCGCAGATTACCAGCGAATGAAAACAAGCCACGCGCGGTTTAACTACGTGCCTATAAATATACCCTGTTCGTACAGCACCGGTGATATACATGTACCGACTTGTGATTATGCATGCCGACGAGTGAAATTGACCAGAGACGGTCTATTTCACGCTCCCCACACGTTGGGTTTCTGCGCACGAATATTTTACCTGCATGCGGTGAAAACGTCGCGCACGTACGTCACACTACCTATGCCGCTACACAGATTAACCAGTCTTCCATCCTGACAGCACGACAGTAATGATAACTACGTGTGACTTACCATGGGTAGCCTCACTAAAGACGAGTGGACTGGTGCGTAATACCTGAGCTGATTCAAGCACATCCTTCTCGAGATCGAGAACGGCGGACGATGGCTGGAACTGCTGATTCTTCGCCGGCGTGTACTCCGTCCTCCTGGCCGGGGGGTAGTCGGTGCGAGGAAGACTGTAGGAGTTCCGCGAGCCCGAGTAATCGTACTGGCTGGTCGGTGTGACGCTGGCACCGGCGTTACCTGCTGTCTGGTAGTAGGGGTTACGCTGGTCCCTCGAGTAGTCCGAATGCATGCCGGCGGTGGTTGTCGACAACGGTGGATCTATAGTGACAGCAGAAAGAAGCGGCAGTTGCGGCAGAGAGTGAGAGCTAGACCACGAGTCTGGTTCTATCGTGACCAGTCTTAATAAAGTAACAACTACCTACCATACCCTAACACTAGTCCTAACTCTGACACTAACCCTAACCTATGAACTGTATACATAACTTGCACACATAATTTCATGTGGACAGGTTTCTGACGATTTCTGGTTTTCCTGAGTGGCATGGTGGAACACAGTGGGGGCAGATTTGGGTATCTGTGTGGGCGTTTCTTACAATAAATTTTTGTTTATTTTGGCATTCATTCTGAAGAGGTTTGGCAATTGTAAATGCATATATTTAATAGTTCCTGCAAATGTTGTGGTGTTGATGCCATGTTAGGTCTTTTTTAGACCTTGAAAAAATCTGTATCTCCTGTTTATGGGGTTCAGTTATTTTCTCAGACACATGGAGCGAAAAAACAGCGGGAACTATGTCTGTTATTTTTACGGGATGCCGACAGATGGTTTTGCTATGATAGTGGTTTCCGAAAGTCCTATTTTCACAAGCCATAGGGATTCAAGTTGTGATACATCCAGCAGGAAAGCAAGTAACACTGTACACTGTTGCGGTAGCCTGGGGGGGTAAAATACTCGTGAAAAATACGAACACGGAATAGAAATGACACTGTACAAAACTGCAATGGGGAAATGGAAAGCGGTCAGAATGAAATTTAAATGCATAACTGCAGGAGGGACTATGAGTGTGTGCAAATGTGTTCCACGTGCAGCACTTAACATCCGTCCATCACCGGGTCGTTTAGCCAACGTACATGCTTCGCGTGCTTTCTACGTTACACATTTTCACACAAAATTTAGCAAGTTAATGAGGAGACAGTAAGGAGGTGGATGAGTATGTGTTCCCATCACTGGTGCGGAGAGATGCTGTCTGGTGGGTGGCACGTCACATGAAACACTTGCTACAATAAGTAATTGTTACGATGCTGGTTAGACTTAGGTTAAAGTCATATGATGGGTAAAATCATCTGGAAGGTTTTAAATTTCGGGTAAATACGGCCCGATGATTCAGTGTGGTGGATACGTCAAGTATTACACGCCACACCCGCACTGCCTTTGCTAACTACTGCAATAAAGGTTTACCTGAGAACCCACGGAAGGTGGAAGTAAACTCTGCCCAGGGAGAACTCTGTGCTAGGCTGCTTGGCAATGGCTGAGCTACCTGCTCCATAGGGTCTGCACTCTGCAACGTAACCAATAAAACATCTGTTACTATTCACTCCTGAACATGCACATCTCACGCTTCGTTAAATTGAGCCAAGAAAAGGATATGTCATCGCCAAAAATCTTCCCCACTAGGCACAGCACCCCATGTTTATCTTAGGGATAGCTTTTCCTACTATGACCCAAGCATAACCCGGATGTCTACAGCATTAGTGAATCCACTGAGGTTTGCTTCTACTGCACAAATGCACGAAACCCGAGCCACTTTATACTGCTTCATACTGTACAAATATATTCATCGATATGTTTATACCACCATAAACTAATCTTAGCAGTTGGTGTTACGAGAAAAGATTCTCCCAGCAGATGGCGTGCCGAATAGGTTAAATCTGTATCAAGTTTCTGACATCCATTTCAAAGAAGGACATTGCCATGGAAATTGTATCTGCTCATGGGAGCTTACCACTAGATGCTAAGGGTGTATACAGAGGACTCTATATTTAGCACGCATTAAACCAAAGCTGTGTTGCAGATTCTTCAATTGTATGTTGCAGACATGGGCATAACGATATGTAACAACTTGTGTGACTGACTACACACATGTGCTGATAGATGCATGTATATATATATATATATATTTATTTATTTGTATAGCCATACAGATCACCAAACAGTGTCATAACGTGGTCAATTACCGTGAGACCGCACTATTGCCCTAGAACACAACACATCACATCTAAGGATAGTTTTAAATCTTACACCATGCACACCACTTTACTAACACTATTAGTTTGATATTGCAATGAAATGACCCTTCTAACATTTTGCCCTTGCGAATAGCCAAATAGATTCCTGTAGGTAGAGCATCTATCATATATTATCATTGCCACCACTGAGAGAAGTCCTTGTAGGTGCACGCAAGATTAATTGCTCATTAATTGCGCCATCATGTTGCAATCATGACTCTATGCAATTTCCAATGCAGAATTTTTTGAGGGGGCACGTGTTCGTTAAATCTCTCCAACTCGATACCGACCCGGCACTTGTGATGTCGCGCAGTAAACAAACACCCGAGTGAATATATGTGCTTGTTATTCTTGTGCGTACATGTGTATACGAAGCTGTGGGCTTAACTGCCACACGGAGCACATGTGTACGTGCGTTGACCTGCGTGCGAGGCGATCCACAACCAACAGTACATGTTTACAAACACAAGCAGCCGCTGCCTCTCTGGCACGCGACTCAGGGAAGCCATCATAGTCATGAGTCAATGAGTAACAGATGCTGAATCCCAAAGTAACAGATGCTGGCTCCTAAATTATTCGGCACGGTGCATGCACGACATTACTCAGCAGTCCTCCTCATCCACATTTATTAATCACATGCTATATACTGTTTGTCAGTTGGCTCAGTGCATATATATATATATGAACAAAGTTCTGAGAGAATCAGATCACCTGCCATATTCTCCGTTATGGTGGGTTATGCAGAACTTATTATAATCTGAAATAGACTGTACATAAATTAACCTGGAAAATCTTTGAACTCCATCTCGATTCCAATTATATATGCCTATAAATATCTCTAAACATCCCATAACTTGTGCTTGAATGAAGCTACTCCTAATCTAAAAAAGTGCATAACTTCAACACTGAAACAACTAAAAAAATCTCTATTTTTTTCATCTTAGTTAAAACTCAAATTGGCCCACAAGGACACATCTGTGAAACGTACGTTCTGTCTGAATGTGTTAAAAAATACATACATAATAGTGCCCTTCACTGTGTATTGATAGTAACACGAGTAAATGAATCACTATCATAAATAAATAGACAAACTTTCAAGATAAGATAATAATAACAACAGCATCTCACCTCAAATCCACCAAACTCGTCATCACCGTCTGCGGTCGCAGGTTGTCTCTTTTCGCCACTCTGAAATTCAACAATATCAAATAAACTGAGTCTACACTGGTGGAGATTCCATCAGCATATCAGTCCAGGTTACGTCGACCTGGAAAACGCCCAGGAATCTAACATGTCAGACACCTTCTACACCCCGTAGACACATAACACCTGTTTACCGACTTGTGAAGTGATATATAATCAGGAGAAGATAATAGAAGATAATAGAATCTTCTATTATCTACTCCTGATATAATATATATACGCGAATGTTCACCGAACGGATGGATCATTCGGTCTTCGTTTATGGAACAGAGAGAACGGTTTTACGTTATAACCCTGAAGGTACTACTACACATTCCCAGAAACTAAACTGGCCCTTTTCAGCGCAGAACCGCGCACAAGGTCAGAGAGACACACACGCACGCGCCTGCACACAAAAACACGTGTCTTCCTTACGATTCGCTTGTGATGTGGCCTTTTGGGAGGGTACGTGCCAGTACCCCTCTGCTGCTCATACATTCCTACTGAAGCCTGTCGTTAGAATCACAGCACACGCGATCTAACAGAGTGCACAGCCACCGCCAACTGCCCACATTCCTCTCTCTCCACTGCTACTGTTAGTACAGCCCACACCGCCTGTCGCTGACTGATTCCCACCAGCCGAGCAAAACTTACAACTGCCTCTATACATACTCCTGAGGAATTCCTTGCTGGAAAGCTCCATCTGCTCCACGGTGTCAGCGGGGGAGGGGGAGGGCCGATATAGAACACTAACGCAAGAGAAGCACCGATGATCTCAACCCCACAGTCTTGCATCAGTAGCTACGATTTACTTCCGACGCGTTGTACGATTGCAACATTTGAAAGTAAATTTATGAAGGCATTAAACACCGAGGTTTACACGTTGGGATGTAATTCCTGCATCCCCTCTTCCCATCTGCACATAGAGGAGCCCAAATACACAGGGCCTCTAGCCGATGCATGTCAAATACTAACAGGGTCCAGACCAGAGGGTATAAATAACTTTCACCAGATGAAGTGGAACTTGGATGTATATCCACTCAGCATGAGAAGCCATGCTTGGCAACGCAGGAGGAACCACAAATGTAGATCATGAGTGCAATGCGAGCATCAATGTAGGACTTTTCAATTATCAAGGATAATCTAATCTAGCCAAGGTAGCATTTGTTATGCAGCGTAAGGAAATACAAATAAGATATAAATTATGACAGAAGTATAAAATAAGATATAAATTATGACAGAAATATAAAATAAGATATATATATATATATATATATATTATAATTGACCATTGCGGCACAAGTGCTTTTCACCAATACAATCACTTTACTACATTGTCACCAACTCATTTCTTAAGAGAACTCCCACCCAGAAGATACAATGGTGGGACGGTACCCATGGAAATAGCAATAAGATTGTATGTGTGATTGCATCAACAGTCACATCCATATGGAGCACACAACACTCTGCTAGAGACACACACAAGATAGAGCCAATATAGATCTGAGCAAGCACCAACAACGCGAGCAGCATCGTAGCAATGCTAGATGACTTAAGTTTAATTACATTATAAACTATGTAGGAGAGCCAAGCACCAACAACGCAAGCAGCATCGTAGCAATGCTAGAAGACTTAAGTTTAATTACATTATAAACAATGTAGGAGAGCCAAGCTCCAATTTTCCATGCATACCCGTACAAATTTAACTGACCTAGCTGATGTTCCTGCAGGACAAACCAATGCATAAATTCATACAAACAACTGAAAGAAGCCACAATATTAAGTTCAAGCAGTATTTCTATTATACTCTTGATATATAAACGACTCTCTGGCTCTGCTGGCCAGTTTTGTAGTCTTATAGTGGAAGCAAGCCACCCTAGTCTTGTACACACTAAGCAACAGCACAAGAGCAACAGTAAGGACTATATGGCATCAGGGGGCATCTCTAATAACACTGGAGGGAGAGTCAGCTCCTGTGAATTAATGCAGAATAGATGAAAGTCTGACAGGGTGTACCAGCCCCACAAATTCATTGGAGAAATATCCTTGCCATCTGATGGATTCTGATAATGTGTTCTCTATCTAGAGGGATTTTTTGCTACATAACAGAAAAATCGGGCAAGAAGGCAAAAGTCAGCCCATGCAGTCGATTCATTTTTAATTTGTATCATGGGCGCATCTAGTATAAGTATAACGAGGTCAGACCAGGCCTAAAACGGACAATCAAAAGACAATGATCGACTACTTTATATCTATATGAATAATTTATTCAAAGGCAGCGTTTCCTATTTTCTATATTTGCAATCATGATTTGCAAAACCGATTCAAAAACCGAACAAACAGCAACACTGACCTTCACCTTACAAATTACACAATTATCTGTATCTTCATGTTTCTATTTCTATGCTGTGATTAGAGTTGCCAGAGGTGTGTAAGCAGTAACACTACACCCTTGATCAGGTAAAACTATATGTTATGTCAATTTGGTAAACAAAAGTTGCATATATGCCTACAGTCTACACTGTAGAGTGTAGGCTTACTACAGTGCCAGTACCTCCTGTTCCAGCCCACTGTCATCAGCCTCCATTTTCGATATGTGCGAGAAGTATTATTGACTCTACTTCTTCATGTAATTTTATGTTTACTAAATTATCCTCTACTTCGTAAATATTATATATTTAGATGATATTTCTCAATCCAAGTTCCACGTAGATTCGCAAAGGGCGCATCCATTATCGTCTCATAATTTATCTCTTCTACGATAGATGGCGCCAAAAGGTCAAATTGGATTTATTAACGCCTATTTTGTTTTCGCGATATTGACTAGACTTTGGGAACAATATATGCAGTTATATATTCTGCTATGCGTTATACGTTGCTTTAATATGTATGTATTATTCTCTGGTTAGACTGGTTCCATATGTATGCTATACTGTGTGATATATGAAGCGGACGATAGGTTATGTTCATGACCAAGCGAAACCAACATAGACATTGGCCAAATTTTATCCCAATTGTTTACTAGAGGTGGCGCTGTTCTCGATACGCTCACTTGTTGCGGAATTTTTAATACGTTAGATACGTGCCATAAGAAATGAAGTGGGCAGTTTGTACAAGTAATCTTATCAACATGTCCGTGATTACGAGACGCTGTGTCGTGTGTGTTGCCGTAAACTAACATCGGTGAACGAGGTCACACTTGCATCTCACTCCGGAGCTATGGCGTCTAATTTTAACTCTAGACATCGTGAGCCTTGGCAAACGTTCTGTGAACAACACGCAAAGACTGCTGCAGCAGAATTTGCTCGGAACTTTAGAGAGTTCGTCACCGATCATCCGTGCTACGCGACATCGGCAGCCAAGCAGGATTTCGGAGACTTGTTCGTGGAAACATTCACGAAATCTTTTAATCTTAACTGCTTCAGGAATGACGAATGCGACCAGGGGGCCACAGCTTGCAGCAGACCAGTCTCCTTACACCACAATGCCAATGGGCTCCCATTCGATAGTTCTGATAGTTGTACGGCAGGTTCGGACACTGAGAGTGAGTCTCCAGTTAAACATCATAAACCTTTCTTTCGGCGACTGTCGTTTAAAGGTGGGCTTAGTCGGATGCGGGGCATCTTTCACAAGCAGCATTCGGATGAACAGGAGTTATCGTCGTCGACCTCCCACAACCGCCACCATAACGATAAATCGAAAAGTGACAAGCACAAACCGCCGCAAGAGAAGAGCACGAAAATCGTCGTTGAATGCAAAAAGGAAGGAATCGTAAACTATTTGTATGGCGAAGATTTACAAGGGAAGGCTCATTGGGAAAAATGTCGGCTGACACTTGTTAAAACAGCTGGAGGTTACATGTTGGAGTTCTATATTCCCCCCAAGGTAGAGTATATATACGATACAAACAAATAATTACAGGCACACACGCTCACACGGTCGCATGCACACACGTATATAATAATTAATATATAGCCTATTTATTATATATATCTATTTGTTAAAGTTCATTATTTAATTTAAGATTTTTGTATAATATACTTGCATCAAGAAAAAATTATCTGTATCCCCTCTTCTTTGGAAACACATTACAAACGAGTTCTTCTTAAAGGGTGTCTCAACATGCACTGGCAGCCTGGCTATTCATTACATACACCCATGGCGTCCCTCCATAAATCAGGACTGCCTCAGTAGGAACCTACTGTAGACACCCCGCCCCCGCACACGTGTGTGTGTGTACGGAAGGCCAGATATTGTGCTTCACTGATATTGATTTACTGATTGGCGGCTGGGTCGTTACCTTGATTGTTTTGGTTGAATTGCTAATTGGACTAATTGCCTAATATAATTAACATGCAGGTCAGGCCAATCATAGGTGTGATGTGCTCTTCTAAAAGACAATACTTGGCAATAAATTGCTGCAAACTATACAATATTGTGTGCACACATGAAAAACACATATAAACAGGTTTAGTTTGACCAGTATAGCAACAGTGTATAAGTGTGCATTGATAATTTGCTCAGCAGATAGATGGTCATTTGTCTACTGGCTTCATTGATTGGTTTGTTGAGGATGGTGGTTGACAGAGGTTTACAACAATGTCCTGCATGTCATTTGCCATCCCTGTGTTTGTTTTGTTTTGATGTTGTTAAATAGCTGTGTCTGTGTATAATTGGTTTGTTTAATAGCAGTTTTTTGTAAGATTTTTCCATAATTACTCATATCTCCTCCATGGCTCGCACAGTCCTTGAAAAGTCCTTGAATTTGAGGGTAGTCCTTGAAAAGTACTTGAATTTAGTAAATGTTGATTTTGTGCTTGAAAAGTGCTTGAATTTCATGAAAATGTCCTTGAATTTTTAGAAAGAATCCTTGCCTGTAATAAAAAGAAATTTTGTACCATCAATAATGTGCAATCCTCAATAAAAATTGCGTTTAATGAGCTTAAAAAGCTATAGACACGATAGACAGTTAAATGATGATCACAAATTACAGTAAGTCAGTAAAATCAGTCAGTAAATCAAGGTATGTTGTAGAAGTGACAGTGTTTAGAAGGGTTTATTAATGTGATCCAGGTAAGTTTTAGAGGTGACATGCAGTGATTAAGAATGGGGCTATTAAATTAATCCAGGTATGTTTTGTTCTGTGTATGAATTCCGATAAAATGTCTGATAAAATGTCCTTGAATTTCCGATAAAATGTCCTTGAAAAGTCCTTGAAAAGTCCTTGGAAAAAATTTCAGTCCTGCTGTATGAACCATGTGACCTCCACCCCAACTAAAAATCACATCCACCACCACTACCACTAGCAGCATTCACTACCTCTGGCTAGTCTATCCCTGGCTACGTAATCCATCACAGAGATATATCTTGCAGTTATTTCTGCACATATATCAGGAGTAAATAATCACAAATGATTTTGTGTGTGATTATTTACTCCTGATATATATATATATATATATATTATATATATATATATAATATTCTATATAGTATATAGTAGCGGTAAGGGGGTAGTAATGATAATATGACGGTACCTAGAGTGCCGCTGGGTCAGCCTACTGCTCGTCATTGCAAGTCGCTGCTACCCGCCTCCGTGTTGCTTCGTGGTGTAACGTTGTGTACGTAAGAACAGCTGTAAGGTCGTAACACACCGCCACGGTCAGGCTGCTGCTGGCAGCTTGCTCACCTACACAGACCACTCCCCCGCCCCACCCATCTCTTCTCCCGTCATCGGCGTGTCGAGAATCTCGCCAAGAGAGAATAGTTGTGAGGGGAGGGGGAGGGGGAGGGGTTGTGAGGGGGGGAGGGGGATGGGAGGGGGTTGCGGGGAGGAGTGCGGTTGTGTTAGGGGGATGGGCGAGGGGTTGTCGCCGGAGGAGGGCCGGTTGTGAGGGGGATGGGAGGGGTTGTGAAGGGGGAGGCGCGGAGGGGGGTTGTCGGCGAGGCAGGCGGTTTGTGAGGGGGAATTGGGAGGGGGTTGTTAGGGGCAGGGGACGGTCGCGGAGAGGGGAGGGGGGTTGTCGGGAGGAAAGGCGGTTGGTGAGAGGGGAGAGGCGGGGGAGGGCTTGTGAGGGGGATGGGAGGGGGTTTGTCGGCGAGGAAGGGGTTTGTCGGAAACGAGCAGGGCAGGATTGTGATGGGGATGGGAGGCGGGTTGTCGGAGAGGCGGTTGTGAGGAAGGGGCGGAGGGGTTGTCGGTAGGAGGGGTTTGTGCTGAAAGATTGGGGGAAAAATCGGGTTAGGGGCGATTGTTAGGGGAGGGGAGGAGGGTTGCGGGAGAGCGTATGGGCGCGCCGCAGCATTTTATATACAAATATCCGTCCGGAAGAGAGCGTGATTTCAACAAGGACACGGGGGCGGGCGGGGGGGGGGGGGGGGGGGGCGGGCCCGCCGGGGGGGGGGGGGGGGGGGGGGGGGGGGGGTGGTGGGGGGGGGGGGGGGGGGAAAGCCGTGTGGTTGGCAGCCTTCCTTTTAACACGCGCGTGAAACTAGGGCGCGGTCTGCTAAGGTCTCGTGCATTTCGCCAGGGGAATGTCATGACCCGAGCTGGCTGGCTGGTGGTCGTTTATATACACAGATCCAGGCACACACGCGTTTGGCTTTTGCGCCGTCCAGACGACTGTACTGGCACGGCCCCGGGTCGGGTGGAACGCTGATTCGTTTTAAGAGCGATTTAATGGCGCGGGGTACCCCCTTTGAATTCGGTCTAGTCTTTCTCCTTCCGAGTCTCATGAATCCCTGTAAAGTAGTGGTTCGTTCTATTTGTCTTTGTTCGACACGTTTAGCACTTTCGTTTCACGGGTTTACGCGTCTTGATAATGAAACAATAGTTAGTGTCACGGGCCAGCGTACATTGGTATATTGGTTGTGCGGCTGTCAAGTGTGGCGCGGTTTTGCCATTCAGTGTGCGTTACTTAGTGCTGTATAAATGATATTACTGACCTGCCGAAGTGGGTTAGATTCTAGCGTACATACAGGAGACTACCTGAATGACGCTTTCCGCTTTTTGAGCGCAAATTTAAATTGAAAGTGCCGCGATCGTGTGTCGGTAGCTTTAAACATGTTATCACGGAAAGGCAGCAGACGTATAAGAAGGGTAATAGCTTCTTTATACGCTCTTGTTGTATGTACCCTGTCCGCAGGGCCTTTCCCTTTCTCAACGCTGCCCGTTCTCGTGGTCCAAGCTACTTGTCTGGGTAAATAACGCCTTTAAGCAATTTCCCTAACATAAATCAATTAAACTGTTGAAATAGCCACCTCGTTCCTCCGTTTGCTACATTACGGCGAACGTTCTAATAATAAGTTTAATTTACAAGTCCTTGCGTGGGGGTCTCTACCCCAATTCAGATTGCAACGCACTTATTGTTTGCATCGTTTGTGTGATCTTTAAATCTTCCCTGTGTGTGTGTAGCGCGAGTGTGTGTGTGTGCGTGGCAGTGCGTTCGTCGTTCGTGCGTTAGCGTGGCGTGGTGTGATGGTGTGGCCGCGCCGCGCCGCGTTGTGTGGTGTGTGTGCGCTGCACGCGACTGTGGTGTGTGTATCTGTGATGTGTGTGCTGCGCACAGCTGTGTGGTGTTTGTGAGTGTCGTGTGTGATGTGTGTGGTGTGTGTGTGTGTGCGTGGCTTGTGTGCGTCGCGTGTGGTGTGTGTGGTGTGTGTGTGTGTGTGTTGCATGTGTGTGTGCTGTGTGGTGTGTGCTGTGTGTAC